ACATGAAACATTGGTGTGAATAACTGTATGATGGGAGGGGCAAAGTTGGCGAATACAATGTTGGAGAAGTGAGGGAGGGCTGGCTGGGTGTGGCAGCTCACACTCGCTGTGTTCTGAATGTGTTGATGGTGAATGTGTATAGTGTGTGACAGTGTATAGCGTGTAAATAGATTGTATATATATATATATTAGCATGATACATAGTAAATATGTGCTGCATATGTGTACACAAGTGTCATGCAAGTAACACAGTGTCTTCGGACAGTACGGATGTTTTACTGCCATAATATAGTGTACGTGTTCACTATACATAGGATTAGCACGTAAAAACAAATAAAATGTATTTGGAACTGTGCGAAAAAAATGAACGAAAATATATTCGCGGGAACTCGGGCGCCCCGCCCCGAGCGCTGTACTAGCTCTGGGAGCGTACGTCACGGGCGAACAGGGAATGATGACGTCACACCCCAACTTACGGACCCCCTTGCAGCCAAAGTAAGTACAATTTCGATTTTTTTCTACATACCCATACTGAGGAAAGGGTTTCTGACACTTTAAAAAGAAAAAAGAATTTTTCCAGAGAATTTATTTCCTGCGCACTGCGGGGGTGTCATATTTGGAGGCAACGCAGTTAAGGGGTTAATATTCTTTCATCTCCACAGGCGCATGTCATTTTGAAAAAAAAAAAAATTTTTTTTTTTTTTTGCTAATCTGTTAAGTTGTGTTCACTGATCACGGGAAAAATAATAAAAAAAATCTATTGTACTTACTTTTGTTGCAATAGAGCCGAGAAGGTCAGCGATGACGTCACAATCTGCATGTTCGCTCATGCAGTACACGCCCCAGAGGCATTGCGCGCGATCCTCAAACAGCCAGAGTTGCCACAAACATATTTTCGCGCTATTTATTTACAATGTCTAGGCGCATTTTATCCAATTTTTTTTCACTAATTGTGTTTCATATAAAGTTTGAACATATTTTATATCAATAATTGTTGCATACACAGGCGCACACAAATGTTTTCAATTACGGCAATATAATATGTCATTACAGTCTATTATATTGTATGTTCTGCTTATATGTTTAGATATTTATAAACACGCACAAGCTATCTGCTTATATGTTTAGATATTTACACACACGCACAAGCTATCTGCTTATATGTTTAGATATTTACACACACGCACACCCTATACACACTTTGAAGCACACTTAGAAGTTTTCTAGACTGTGGTAGTCATTGAAGCAGTCGACAGCACATAATGGGATACCACACATTTCACACCATGTTTGCGCAAGCTTCCGTTTCTGGTCTCTACATGTCGTTGTTTTACACACCAAGCAATCACGTTGGGCTATTGCACGCTTCCCAGCTGGTGGCAAATACTTGAGTCTGTGTGCTAGGAGGCCTTCAGTGTGAGCGAGGCGTGGAGTACCAGCATGCTGCAACAGTGGGTTTATGATGGGCTGCTGAATCCCTGGGACATCTTTTGCAAACTTTCCTAATAACTGTATTGCGGCATCAAATATAAAGTCACGGAAAGTGGGCTTATGTCCAGTTCTCACAAGATACACGTTGAAACAGTTCAGCATGCTCATGTCCACAAGATGGAAGAACACTTTTTTCGTCCACCTACATGTTTTCCTCACACACTCTGCAGTGCCAATCATCATGTCTGATTTATCAATCAACCGCATGTTGATATTATAGTCTAAAACACAGTCTGGCTTATACAGTGGTGCCTTAGTTTTATGGTTCACTTTCCCACTGTTCACCATTGTTCCATCATGAATTGTTGTCAACAAGTTCACCTCTCTTTTGTCTTTCCACCGAACTGACAGAATGTTATCACTTTTCTTTCTCTGACACTCACCAACTGCAATGTCGTTGTCAAACACAGGCATTTCCCTTCGTTGTGGCTATACTGTACCAACCAATCCGGTTCTATTTTCTAGCAAGAACCGAGCTAGCAAGGGACTTGTATAGTAATTATCCGTGTATAAAATGTGTCCCTTGTTCATCCACGGAGCCATGGTGGACTTCACTGCACTCCCCGAGAATCCATGTTCGTCGTTACCGGGAATGTCTACATCACTAGCAGAGTACAATATCATGTGTAACACGTATCCTGTCTCACAATCACAAAGAACAAAAAATTTCAGGCCAAATCGGTTTCATTTTGAGGGAATGTACTGCTTGAATGGAACACGTCCCTTGAAAAGTACGAGAGATTCATCAACCACCAGCTTCTGTGCTGGTACGTAAAAATCTCTGAATTTTTCAATAACATCATTCATGTAGTGCCTCACTCGCCACAGTCTATCATCATCTGTTCGGTCCTGAACACTTCCAAAATGTAGACACCTGAGGAGTATCTGAAATCTGTCTCATGACATATATTTCCCGAATAAAGGTGTTGGTATTGTATGGTCCTTGCTCCAATAGTCACTTATTGCATGTTTGTGACAGTGCCTCATCAACAGAGTGCCAAAAACACATACATTTCCGCAACTGTGGTATTTTTCCAACGCTGCAGTCGTGAAGATTCTGTGATTTGCCTCTCAATCAGGTAAGCAGCATGCAGGTTCGTTTGGTGTACAATATATTCCATGAGTGGTTCGTCATAGAATGCTGTAAAATATTCCATCTCAGCCATGTCCTCACCTTGATTAGGGAAAAGGTTTGTAATCCCTACATCTTTATCGTCAAAATGAGGGATATTAGGAATAAAATCGTCACCATCACTCCACACAAGTACACCAGGCGTCCTGCGAGATGCAGAGGAAAGACGGCGAGGAAGCGATGCATACCGGCGACCAGGAGCTGAATACCGTCTGCGAGAAGCACGGCGGCTACGTGCACGTGAGGTGGGTGCACGTGAGGTGGGTGCAGGTGAGGTGGGTGCACGTGAGGTGGGTGCACGTGAGGTGGGTGCACGTGAGGTGGGTGCACGTGAGGTGGGTGCACGTGAGGTGGGTGCACGTGAACACGAGGGTCTTGGTCCCTCATGTGGTGCCATGCGGTGGCGCTTGGCTGGGCGAGATGCTGCTGACGCGCCAATTTCTCGCCCAGTTACACCACTGGTACCAGCCACAGACTCAATAAAACTATGATCTGAGTCACTAAACCCAGAAAAGGAATCACCTCTCTCTGACTCGTCACCCTCAAACAGTAAATATCCACAGGAACTGTGAGGTCGTGGTAGAATTGGGGTAGAAACTGGCCGAGGAGGCATGGGTGAGCGTAGAGGCCTCGCCATGGCATGGCGGTCATTGTCACTCTCACTGCTGCTGCTACTATCACCCGACAACTGTGTATAATCCTCATCGTTGTCTGAATCATCAAACATACTTTCTTCACCTTCAGAGAATAATTCGTGGGCTATTTGCTCTGGGGTGAGGGATTGAGTGGTGCGTGCCCGAGAGGCGTTTGACCGTGCGCTCGCCATGGTGACTCTCGCTAAACTGAGGCCTCCCACGCCTTCGGTTCGTGAGCGGGAATTTTTTTTCAAAATGGCCGCTGTTTACTATAGCCCCTGGGCAGCGTATGTGAACCCCAGCTACACCGCGGGACATTCAAATCGTACGCGGAACCCATATACGTCATATGACGTGAAGCGCAGTTGACTGGTACAACGTCTAACACGTCATATGATGCAATGTGCACTTTAAGGGTTAATACGTTTTTGAGTCTAAATTTTAAATTTTAAAATATTTGTTAAAATTCTAATTTTGTGCTATTATTATGGGATTAGTTTTACAATGCGCGTCTTTATATTGCGAACAATTTGATACCAAAACGAGTGATGTAACATGCAAATTTATGTCAGAACATTGGAAAGATAAATAATTTTGATGACGAGCGTCGAAAATTAAAATATTTGTTAAAATTCCAGTTATTGCTCTATTATTATGAGACTAGTTTTAAAATGTGCACCTTTATATTATGAACAATTTGATACCAAAACTAACGATGTAACATGAAAATTGATGTTATCAAACTGAACGAGTATACAAATTAGGTTGTGGTGTACAAATTGGTCCACGTTCACGGGTAATTTTAGGTGTGCTGTCTGGAGTCTCACCAGAAAGACTCCCCACATTCATATTTTGGACATTATATGCATATAAATCTGCAGGGAATTTAATTGCAAACACAATGATACCAAAACAAATGACGTAGCACGAGAATTAAGGTGAGAAAACTGAAACCAGTATACACATTTTACTGATTTTGTGCACTCACGGTTAACTTTTCTGACTTTAGGCTTTGCTGTGGGGAGTCTCGCCAGGCTTTTGGACATTATATGCATATACCTCTGCAGGGAATTTAATTGCGAAAACAATGATACCAAAACGAACGACGTAGCACGAGAATTAAGGTGAGAAAACTGAAACGCGTATATACATTTAGGCATCGCCGTATGCTCGCCCACACCATTAGCCCCATGACGTCAAAGTCTGCGACGCTCACGTGGCGCACGCAATAGTGTTAAAGTTATCAGCTTATCATCTTGATTCCAGAGCTGCAATGCCATTATGTCGATATCACGAGGGTTTTCAAACATTAATTCTCTTACCTACATGTGTTCCTTCACCAGCACAGCCACTCCTCCCCCCTTCCTAGTTTTCCTGTCACATCCTGAGTAGCCCCTTGGGAATACGACCTCATTTAAAATATTTTCTTCAAGTTTTGTCTCTGTTAATGCAACAATATCTGGGACTTTGAGCTTGATTATATCCTTCAACTACAATATTTTCAATCCCACTCCATCTATGTTGGTGTATATTATTTTCAGGAACATGTTCCCCTTCCCAAGTAGAAACAAGCTCGTGCCCTTACACTGATGCGACCTGGTAGATGGGAACCTTCTCAGTGTATAGCTTCATTGAGTCACTGGCTCACCCAGAAATTGGCATTTATTGCATTCAATTGAATGCTGATTTTTTACCTGATAAGGTATTAATGAAAAAAAGAAAGAAAAACCTACAACACTCACCTGTCTGAGGCCATGGTATATACAGAGCCAGAAGAGAAGGAGGGCACACAAGAAGGTGGACTGGAACACAGTGTCCACTAGTGCTGGTACCCATGAAGCCATCAAGAATGTCATAGGGAACACTGGGTCTGTGGAAAGGACACCTTTTTAAGAATTCTTTGCCTATCAGTCTTTTGCCTGGATTCAGAAGCTTTATTTTGTATTTGTGTTTGTTTGCAATATGATGAAAAGTTGTGAAGTACATTGATCAAGTATGGCTTTTCGTTGGTATGTTCATGTCGTATAATGAAGGTTTCAAGTTACTGCTTAAAAGTACAAAGACTGTTTGTCTTTCACTCACAGTTATAAACCAATTCATTTCAATTCAGATTATTAGGTCATGTGAGATGTCTCGCCACATTTTCAACAATAATTTAAATAATACAGTGGAACCTTGGTTGACGACTGCCCTAAAAGACAATTTTTTTGGAACAAATCAAATTTGTTGTAATATTTGAACTGTTACACAATGGTTTACTTTGAAGACAATATCTGTTCGTACGCGTATGGGTCGAACGAGCGCATGGTGCTGGAGGGGGGGGGGGCGAGGTGCTCTCAGTTTGTTTACAAGTCTATCCCGCAACCGATCTTGAATTCTTTGTAAAGAATTTCTTTATTTTTCTGCTTTTTTGTTTTCTGAACAGTAAAGTTCTGTAGCGAGTACAATCAATATTCTCACTTCAACTTCTCATTAGCTTAACCCTTAAACTGCGCAACGCGCCTGCAGGCTCACATCTGGTTTGCGCAACACGCCTCCGGGTATTTGTATTTTTCACGTTCCATTCAAAACTCCGCAGCTACATGGGGTTCACATCAGCTTCCTCAGGGCTCTTGTAAACAGACGCCATCTTTAAAAAAAATCGTGGTCCACATTCCCGGGTGTGGGAGCCTCAGTAGTGTGTGAGCAACCAAGGCTGGCGCTCGCAGCATGAGCGCACGGCACTGCTGTTCAGCATTTGACCACAGCATCGCCTAATAATGTCAAAATATATATATAACTTGTATTATTTAGCTATGATAGTGTTATATTAGAGCCTGAGTGTGATAATGACTGGGTACAATGTTCAAATATCAGTGATTCAATGCTGTTCACGATGTTCACAGCGCTAGCCACAGCACCACAGCATTATTTCGTTCATCTAGGAATCTTCAAATGATTTCTTAGGTTCCTTTTCAAAATAAACGTGTGGTCAATTATTCATTTACAGGAATTAGTGACCAGGATTGTGATAATAGCAGGATTGTGGTTATAATTAGCGTTGTGCGTAGTATTGTGGAAGGAGGAATTTTGATGAGGGAGGGAGGGCGAGAATTGAGGTAGCCTCATTGTGTGTGTGTGGCTGCCACTCTTGTTTTGCTCACCATACTAGCTTAGTGGTTCGCTATGGGCAACACATATGTACATGGGTATATATAGTGTGTGTATATAGTATAAGAACAGCAACAGGAGAATGTTGAGAGGAGCTATTTTGGTGAAAGAGGTGACGTAATCGTAGCGTCATCTGCTGTGTGATTTTTCATGCAGTGCATGGTGGCCACTGTACTGTTTGGACACAATACCGGCTTACTTGCATAGTTCTGGTAAATAAAACATGTAGATAGGTATATAGAACATGTGTAATAAGAACTATAACAATATGGTGAGAGGAGCAATGTTGGCGAGTAAGATTTTGGAGTGAGGGAGACTGACTGGGTGTGGCTGCTCTCACTCGAGGTGTTCTGAATGTGTTCATACGAGGCAGCTGCTGTTGGCCCATACAAGGCAGCTGCTGTTGGCCCACAAGAGGCAGCTGCTGTTGGCCCACAAGAGGCAGCTGCTATTGGCCCACACGAGGCAGCTGCTATTGGCCCACACGAGGCAGCTGCTATTGGCCCATACAAGGCAGCTGCTATTGGCCCATACGAGGCAGCTGCTATTGGCCCATACGAGGCAGCTGCTATTGGCCCATACGAGGCAGCTGCTATTGGCCCATACGAGGCAGCTGCTATTGGCCCATACGAGGCAGCTGCTATTGGCCCATACGAGGCAGCTGCTATTGGCCCATATGAGGCAGCTGATATTGGCCCATACGAGGCAGCTGCTATTGACCCATACGAAGCAGCTGCTACGCGGTGTTCTCAATGTGTTGATGGTGAATGTATATAGTGTGTGACAGTGTATAGTGTGTAAATAGATTGTATATATACACAAATTAGCATGATACATAGTAAATATGTGCTGCATATGTGTACACAAGTTTCATGCACGTAACACAGTCTCTACGGACAGTACGGATGTTGTACTGCGATATTATAGTGTACGTGTTCATTATACATTGCATTGGCACATAAAAACAATGAAAATGTATTTGGAAAGGTGCGCAAAAAATGAACAAAAATATATTCGCAGCAACTCGCGCGCCCCGCCCCGAGCGCCCCACCGCCCCCGAGAGCTTACAGCACGGGCGCACGGGGAATGATGACGTCACGCCCCAACTTCCGGACCACATAGCAGCCAAAGTAAGTACAATTTCGACTTTTTTTTTTTACATACCCATACTGAGGGAAGGGTTTTTGACACTTTAAAAAGAAAAAAAGAATTTTTTCCAGAGAATTTATTTCCTGTGCACTGCGGGGGTGTCACATTTGGAGGCAACGCAGTTAAGGGGTTAATGACATAACTAATTAGCAGTAACTACACAAGCTATAATCCTATCACTATTTACAGGTAACATTCTTTCCATCCAAGTTGGAGGAAGCCGAGGTGTAGTCACCAAATATACACAAGCGAATTGCAAATAGCCGATAGTACAATTTTCACAGTGAGTCGGATAACTGCAGTACAGACGCTTTGGATTTACGTCACCTCTTCAACCTCAAGAATGTAGCACTCGGCGTGTACAGTTCTAATCGACTCAAAACACTAAAGCTTCGACACAGAGCAGACAGCAGACTACGACCGCATCGAGCTACAACTCTCTCGCTCCCCGAGTTCAGACACCCTCAATTCCCCATAGAGCCGCCACGTTCTCCCGCACAGAGCTCCGCGACTACGGCCTCACTCAGCTCTCTGCTCTGCTCCAAACTCCGTTTGAACATCTACGACAATGCCACTAACCGACTACTGTAATCAAGACTACTTAGTAAATATGAAACTCACTAAACACTGTGTATCTAATCTACCTAACAACGTAACATAATCGTACGTTACTGTTATTATATATCATGCAATAGGTCCAAGGATGGTGAGGGGACTGGATGGATGGATGGATGGTGGGGGAATTGGATTGATGGATGGATGGTGGGGGAAATGGATAAGGAGGGTGGATGGATGGATGTGGAGGGGGACTGGATGGATGGAGGGGGGGGGACTAGATGAATGGTGGGGGGGGGGACTGGATGAATGGTGGGGGGGGGGACTGGATGGATGGTGGGGGGGGACTGGATGGATGGTGGGGGGGGGACTGGATGGATGGTGGGGGGGGACTGGATGGATGGTGGGGGGGGGACTGGATGGATGGTGGGGGGGGGGGGAACTGGATAATAAACGGAGAGGGGGAACTGGATTATTGGACAGAGGGGGGGGGGGAACTGGATGGATGGTGGGGGGGGGGGACTGGGTAGATGGATGGAGGAACTGGATGCTGGATAGGGGGGTGGATGGAGGAACTGGATGCTGGATAGGGGGTGGATGGATGGTGGGGGGGGACAGGATGGATAGAGGTACTGGATGGATGGTGAGGGAACTGGATAGATGGATGGTGGATGGGGACTGGATGGATGGTGGATGGGGACTGGATGGATGGTGGGGAGACTGGATGAATGGATGGTGAGGGGACTGGATGGATGGTGAGGGGACTGGATGGTGGAAGGGGACTGGATGGATGGTGGGGGAACTGGATGGATGGTGGGGGGACTGGATGGATGGTGGGGAGACTGGATGAATGGATGGTGGGGGAACTGGATGGATGGTGAGGGGACTGGATGGTGGAAGGGGACTGGATGGATGGTGGGGGAACTGGATGGATGGTGGGGGAACTGGATGGATGTGGGGGGGACTGGATGGAGGGATGGATGGTGGGGGAACTGGATAGAGGGATGGATGGTGGGGGAACTGGATAGAGGGATGGATGGTGGGGGGAACTGGATGGAGGGATGGAAGGTGGGGGGAACTGGATGGATGGTGAGGAGAACCTCCACCCAGCCACATCTGAACGGTATTAAGATGGGCTTCGTTGCTACCAGCTGGTGGATCAGGAGGCAAACTGCATGACATTAACCCTTAACCCTCAAACTGTGAGGGGTCCAAATGGCTTTAACACCCACAGACGCAACAAAAAATAAATCCAAAAAATTCTTTCGTCTTATAAAAATGTTCATTTTTGTTCCCTGATCATGGAAAAAATAACAAAAAAATCGTAGGTAGCATATTTTAGCCGCAATAGGGTACGGAAGTCTGGCAAAAAACCAGCGTTGAATGAAATGAAACGCCATTTTCTGGGTGAGACGCGGAGGCTCCCCGGAGCTTTACCAGGCTGATATGCTAATGTCAGACTTTGGCATCAGTCATGTGTATGGAGTTCTAGGGCCTACCGGGGACCACGGCCAGAACCTGGCCCCCTCAGAGAGGCAAGGGGAGCAATGGCCTATAGAAACCCCCGTGTGGTTGGAAGCATTCTATGTCTGCCATCGACCGGGTCAAGCATCCAGAAAGGTAAGCATTCCAAAACAAACCCCTATTCAGGTTAAAATTGCTACCTAAAGCCGAACTAGTGGATAGAACTCCCCAACAGAAAATAAGCAAACTAGTATGATGTCACACGTCACCGCGCCGCTGTCTGCACAGCTCCCCCCTCCCCGGGAGGGGGAAAGGGGAGCCCCAGACCTCCCACGCCGGCTATCCACCCATCAGTTCTGAGGCTGGATATCAAAACATGCAAAAACTGCCGACTGGAGGGAGGGAGGGTTGCCGGGGAGCCTCCGGGTCTCACCCAGAAAATGGTGTTTCATTACATTCAACGCTGGTTTTCTGGGGGGAGCCCCGCCGGCTCCCCGGAGCTAACTACCCACAGAGGAAGGTCAAAGGGACGGAACCGGGAGGCGGACACCA